CGGCTGCTGCCCCTGCACAGGCTCGGCAGACGAGGCCGAAGGGAGGACGGCTGCGCGCCCGCCGCGCTGCACAGTGCGTCCCTCGAGCGGTGTGCGCGGCGGGCGGCTTCCATCACCCCGCGCCCAAGGTGCCCGGAGGCCGTGGGCGCTGCCGGGACGGCACAGACGTGCGGAGGTTCCCGGTTCCCGCCGGTCTCGGGCTCCGAGGGTGATTCACTGGCATCTGACATCCCCGCCCCTCCTCCGGACCCCTCAGTTCCCACTGCTCGTACTTCTGTCTGATCAGCAGCTAGAACATTCCCCGTGCTCTGGGACTTGGCCGGCTCAAGTCTGTACTTACGTGGGGTGGGCACCGCGAGGCACCCGTTCCCGAGTCCTTTATTTTTATCGGGTACCTGATACCCCAGCTTCACTTACAAGCCGTTTTCTGACCCAGGGCTTGCGCATTAGGGTCACGTTAGACAAAATCTGCTCCACCACCCCCCCAGCCCCCGGGTGAAATATTTGGAATTCACAGCTTCCTTCAGAACCTCATGGGACAAGAAGACAACTGCTTCGCTGATTTGTGACACGCGAGGCTTCTGTGGAGCGATCTGAATCATCCAGAGCAACTGCTTCTCGGGAGGTGATGTGACTGCCGCGTGGCTGCCTGAAGAATTCCTTGTCGGTGACATCGGGGCCAGGACTCTGTCAGTTCCGGGGCCTTCCCGCAGCGCAGAGTGAGCTCTGTGCCGCGAGGCGCCCTGCTTCCTTTCCGACTGTCCCATCCCACGCTCCGGAGCTCTGAGGCGGCCGGCGTCGGGGCTGCGCGGTGCTGCTGTCTGCTCCGTGCACTGAGGGTCCCCGGACAAGGCAGGTGGAGGAAGGGGGCCTGTGACCCGCTGTGACCCGCTGCGGCTGAGGGCAGGGCAGCCCGGGCCCCGTCACCCGCGGGAACACCCCACTCTCTGAACCCCCCTCAGCCACGGGACAGTTCTGGGGCGCGGCGCGGTCTCTTGTCCTGGCAGGAAGCACAAGTGCCACGCAAGAGCTCACAGGATGCCCCCGACTGCTTTCAAAGTGCAGGGTGACTGGGACAGTCCTCGGGGCTGGGGCCCATTATCTTTCTCCTCCACAGGTCTTGTGGGAAGAAAGGAGGCTGCAGGCAGACACAGGCTCTAGGGACGCTTTTATGGCATCTTTGCTTTGCAATCTTTTTTTTTTTTTCTTTGCTGTTTTTTTCTGGTACCGGGAATCGAACTCATGACCTCGCGCTTACCAGGCAGGCGCTGTGCCACTGAGCTAACTCCCCAGCTCCTGCAATCCCTTCTCAAGTTTTATGTTATAAAGTTATTTTTTCCTTCCTTGGTTATAGCAGAGATATATATATATTCCTGCTGCTTTCTTTCTTTGGGGAGGCTTAGGCATTTAATTTTGATTTTTTTTCCTGTTTCTTTATCCGGAGATAGTTTGCCCCTCTCACAGGTAACAGATTAGATGAAAATCCTTCTGTTGTCTTTGGGCTATTTCCACAGAGCTCACTTTGAACATGAGTATGTCGCTTTGGTGGCTGTGACACCCTCCCTTCCTCCTAAGCCTTCCCTCACCAACACATGCCTTGGCGTAAAGGTGCGCCCCAACGAGGCCGCAAACCTCCCCCACACCCAAAGCACCAAGGAGCAGGACTGTGATAAAGTGGCAAGAACTCTCCTTCAGTAAGGAACGGACACTACACAGCTCATGCCAAAGGCTGCCATACCTCAAGGGAAGTATGATTTCTAATGCTTTAGTCAGAATCTCTTAATTTTGGAAATAATAAAGTGGCCAAATGAAGTCTCTCTCAAGGCCAAACTGGAAGGAACCACTCAGCAGAAATTCTATAAACATTCTTTTAGTCTCCTAAGTATTTCTGACGTATTATTTTGTTCCACACACTGGTCGACGGCTTCTGGCAATTTCTTTACCAGATACACAGCAAGAAGATTGATTCTGACATAGACGCAATTTGATAAAATGCGACAGGACCCCACACTACTGGGGACAGCTCTTACTAAGGGTAACAGCTATTCTGAGGCTAAAGTGCACACCAAGTTGCCTGGCAACTCATACTGGTCACGAATAAGTAAGTAAAACACCAGGGGAAAATATTTTTTTCAGTTGAGTCAGGAAAGACATTTGCTAAAAATCTAATATTCACTTTTGACAACAAAAGCTAGGAATAGGATGGGACTTGCTCTGTCTGCTAATGGGTGTATTTGTTTCCTATAGCTGCCATAATAAATTACCACAAATTGGTGGCTTGAAACAAGAAATTTAGTTTCTCACTCCTTAGAGGGCATTAAAGTATGAAAGCGAGGTACAGTAAGAGCAAAGGCCGCGTGCGCCCTCTGGTGCCTACAGAGCAGAATCCTTTCTTGCCTCTTCTAGCTTTTGATGGCTGCTTGTGTTCCTTGACTTCCACGGCTTCCTCTCTGTGTGTCTATGTTATGTTATAAGGACACCTGTCATTCTTTTTAGGATCCACCTGAATCACTGGGTGATTTCATTTCACTATCCTTAAATTAACTGCATCTGTAAAGTCCTTTTTATTTATCAAATTAAAAAAAAAAAAAACCTTCACAGTTTCCAGGGATTAGGACACGGAGCTCCCCTTTGAAAGGCCATCTTCCAATCCACTGGAGCAGGTAAGATACATGTCGCCTTTGTTGTTGAAACTGCCAGGCTGATCCCAAACTATATGGAAGCGAGAAAGAAGCTACAGGGAAAAACAATCACAAAAAAAGAAAAACAAAGTTGGAAGGCTTATGCGACCTGATTATAAGGCCTGCTATAAAGCTAGAGCAATTAAGACGGTATGACACTGACATAAGAAAACGAAAAGTTATATCACATTCACAAATAGATGCACACACAGGATTTCCTGATGATTGAGGGGTGAAATAAGTTAACTGGAAAGAGAAATAATGGTATGGAAGCTGGCTGTTTCTGTGGGGGGCAAACCTGCGTTGCATACTACACATGAAAATTACAACAAATTATCACAGCCTCAAAGGAAAAACAAGAAGTATAGAACTTCCAGACCTGCCCTATTTAATACAATAGCCTTTAGTCACGTGTGGCTACTGGGTACTTGGACTGTGGCTAAGCCACACTGAAATTCAGTGTTAAAAACATAATCTGGCTTTCAGGGGCTAGGATAAAGAAAAAGAATGTGAAATACCTCCTGGATATTTTTATGTTGATTACATGTTCAAATGATTTTATATATATATAAAAATAAATTTTAAACTAAGTGAAGCTGTTTCAGTAAGTATGACCACCAGAAAATTTAAAACTACATAGGATATTCCATTTGACAATACTTATCTGGAAAACAATGCTAGCTAAAGATCAGTGGGTAGGAGATACAAAGCAATGATCATAAGAGAATAAATTAATAATTGCATTCACTTAAAATAAAACCTCCTATTCTTCAGGAAAGACTATTGAAATAAAAATTCAAACCACATACTGAGAGAAAATATTTACAATATTTATCTGACACAGGGATTACATCAAAATATTTGAAAAACTCACACAATTCTGTAAGATAAACAATGCAATTTTTTTAAAAATCAGGTAAAACACTTCAAAAGAACTTCCCCAAGAAGATATATGAATGTCTAGCAAACACATAAGTGACCCTTAACCTTGCTTCTTCAGTGACTAGTGCAAATTAAAAATACAATGAAATGCCAATACAGATCCACTTAAAGAGCTAAAATTAAAAGACTAACATAGTAAGAGTTGACAATATGGAAATGTTGAAGATCACTGCTGAAGGGAAGAGAAACTGCCATCATTTGAAAGTTTCCTTTGAAGATAAGCATCTTAAGTGATCCACAACCTCAAGAGGTATTTATTCCAGAGAAGCCAGACGGACGGACGTCTATGCACAGATTTATATGCAAATAGTCAGGTTAGTCCCAGACAAGAAACAACCCAAATGTCAGTAATAAAACGGACTCACTGCTGATAGTCTCCACAGAGCAGCTGAATCCAAAGAATACTGCACTGAGCCAGAGAAATCATATATAAAAGACGACACACTGTCGGGTCACATTTCAGAAAGACAAGTTTTCATGTGAAAATTTCATACAAAGTTTCAGGAAGCCTAACCCACAGGCACAGAAAGCAGATGAGTGGTTTCCTTGGGTGCCTGTAGGAGAATCCTGAGGGAATTCT